GTGGTTTTAAATAATTAATATTAGTGTCTATGGATTGTGCACAGTTTATGAGAACTCGCATTAAAGTGAATTCATAAGGGTTTTTTTTTATTCCTAGTTGTTTTCGATCTCGTAACATTCACAGGACTTGCGAAACTCAGGGATTCCGTATTTAAGTTGTGTGTCTACTGAGTCCTTCATTCATTCAACAAAAACGTCAAAGCTTTGCTTTATGTGGATAGTAATGCGATCTTTTATTTGTCTTTACAATTACTGAGACCTATTTTCTTCGGTGTCTTGATGAGGCATATTTATTTCAGACTTTCGGCACTCATTCTTACTCCCAAATCTTTCTGAATAGAACGTGAAGCATGTTTGGAGTTACTTCTACGTCTGACTTCAGTGGTTCAGTTGTTATGTTTGGAGATACATTTGGAAGATAGTTGGTATGTTGAGGGGTGAATGGTACAAGCTGACTAGTTGTTGTAACTAATGAGCTGCACGTCGTACTGTGTGGCGATTTAGTGCTGATGCGTGGTAGAGCACCATCATCCAAGGTAAATCTAGTAAAACTGATAGGATCAATATCAACACTGAAGGCTTACGGAACCAATTTTCGGGATTTATTTAACGCTACACACCGATGTGTGTTCTCCAGGGTGAAATTAACTGCTCACACATTATCCAGGCAGTTGTGACTTTTCCCCCTATCACTTACATACTTACAAAAAACTGAAATGGATTTTTTTATCGTAATGGATAACTCTTTTGAAAATTTCTGTTGATTTATCAATCTGACTTATTCCTTCATTTATTTTTTGAGCGAAATACATAGCTTGTCATATTTATGAACTGTACTGTTGTAACAATGAATAGATTTAGTTAATTCTTTGTCTTTATAACATATTCATATATCAAACTTAACAAGTGACTGCTAGCTTATAAACATCTTACCCAATATTTGGGAACAGCAACTAATATTTTCTTAAGGCAGCTTCAAAGACCCGAGTAGCTGCCTAGCCAGATGAAGTCGATAAGATTAAGAAATTCTACATATCCGATAAGAGAAAACCCTTTTACATGAAACACTAGTTTGATGGATGCTTCTTTTCAGTATTTTAGCTGATGGACAGCTGGAAAAACCTCTTGAACATGATTGGTGTCCTTTTGTTAATTTGATGACCTGCGCAACAATTAGGATATTCTGGAGCGCTTTTTGGGGTGCTTTCGTTTGTACGGCTCTGTTTTGTCATAATGCTTTCTTTCTGAAATATGGTAAGTCATTCTGACCATCTTCATACAAAGAGATCTTAAATGCCAAATATCATAAATGTTGCTTCAATATGGGTAATGTTATGTCGAGATGAGTTATATAGCTTGATATGTGGGGATCACAAACAGATCAGCTGTTCCCATATATTCGTTGTTAGCTTACCTCTGATAGTAATTCTTTTCATACCAAATTAGGACTTATATACCAAATGCTTCAAAAAATGATACTTTGGTCTTTTAACTAGTTATTCTTCAACAGGCTCGTACACTTTCATAAAACTTTCGTTTGAGTATTGCGAAAGCATATTAGCATGACGAGTCTTGATATTTATTTATGGCAGCGTCTCAGTTCGTGCCTTTATACTTGCCGTCTAGTTAGCTGTCCAATATCATATGGTCGGAATTTGAATACTTAGAACCTTAAATAATATTATTGCCATTCCATTTTGTTTGTGAAAATGAACAAGGCAAACATACCCGGTCTCCAACAATAATTGCTGTTTTGCTTTTGTACTTTTTTGGCTGTTCTAGGTTCGCTTTTGTGCTTGAGTATTAGGGCTTTTAGCTGTTGACAGAATGTGATTATTCTTGTATTAATCTTAAGTACTGGGATATAGCTTGGAGATATAGAACATAAGTAACTATACTAGTCTTACTGGTTAATTTTGATTATTCCTGGAGAAGCCACAAAATATTTAATGGAAAATTATCTGTGAACAGTGGTTTGAAACCCATGTGTTTTGATCCAACCAAACGATCAACTATTCATCATACCTTGAAGTGCTTATTAATGGAAATGGTGGTCAGCAACAAACTTTTCGTTAAATGTTTATATTGGTATCAGGTTTGTGAAAACGAATATTCGATACTTGAGTTATTCTCTGCGAATAAATTGTAATATTTGTATATGCCAGACATTCAACCGTTAATGGCAGATCACGTGATAATGGACGAAGGTAGACTTGATATGCTCGTGTCATGTTCATTTAGAACAGGTTAGCGTTTTAGTCGTCATGGAAATTTTAATATAAGGACCAGTATCTTGTTTTGGTCTCTGTGGGCTGACCTTTATAACTAGGAAGTTCACCGAATAGCTTAGAGTACTCAGATGAAATAGTCGTATTTGGTAAAGGTGGTGGCATAGTGCTGAGTAACAGTGTAAGCACTTATGGTGATTGTCTTTCATTGTGAAATTTGGGTTTCAGACTGATCTAAATAATGCCTTAGATTAATTGAGAGTGAGGCAGTGGGGTGTACCTATCACTAATATTGGAAGTCTCTTTGACTCCAGTAGGTTGGTGTCTGAAGAAACATTCATACGGTAGGAAGATTAGTTGGCTCTTGCATATCTATATTACTCGTTATGTAAGTGAGATGTTCGTCTGTCAACCAAAGGGCAAGTACACTGTGTCAGTTAGCTCTGTCTTACTGTATGACCGTGAAACGTAGATCCTGATGATAAAAGATGGTTTTTCACCATTGATATCTTCGAAACTTCCACTTTATTGTGAAACAACCGGCTAAAAAATGTTAAGTTAAACCACAGATCACTAGGCAAATATCGGAAATCAGTTGATGAGATTATGGATCTTCACCAACATATATGGCTAAGACATGTCACGCATGCTTACCCACTATCTACTTTTACAAGCAATGCTTACTGTTGTAGGAATAAGTCGAAAGAAATGTAGGGGAAGCCAAAAAAAGTACATAAAATCGTTGACTGTTGTTAGTCATGCTGGTAGATATTGACCACTTGGTCGGGCTCTGCATGACAACTGTGTTCGTTTTTTAGACGGGTAAAATGTCTTGGAATTGGTAATAATGGTTCATTTGCATTCATTCATTTTACTGTAGATCTTGAGCTCTATTATTCCTTTCTACATACCTTTGTCTTCTCGAACCATGTTGCCAGTCGCTAGTCTCCCTCATTATCTGCTACTACGCTACTTCTATTTGCTTTTAATTCATCTTGTTAGTTTTATGTCGTCTTGCTGATGTGGTATTTTGATTTGGTCTAACGCACATAAGTTCCAAACGCTACATTGATTATGACTGACTATTATGTTTCCTGGAATACTTTACTCATTTCATTCAACTGGTCCACGTATTCGCATCAGTATCACAGTCTATTCTGTGATTAGTTGGATATTTGTCGATAATCATCAACCAACTTTCCCATAGTGAATCCACAAGATTTGTAATCACTAAACGGTACTCTTCAGCATTACATAAATCTGTCATAATTGTTAATGTAGTCTGTCGATCTTGTAGCTTCTGCAATCGACTGTTAATAACTCTAAACTGTTGATATAGCTAGATAAACCGATGAAATGATGTACTTGGACTCATTGTCGTATAGTCTTTCAGTACCTAACATGAATAAAAACAGCTCATGCAAAGTAGCGACATTCGCTTCAGGATGGTTTCCTAATCTGTTTACTTAAAGTAATTCAGTCAGTCACTCAGCTACAACGTAGGACCAGGCACACATATGCATCGGTCTAAGTTACCACACATCACTCATTAACACAAGGTGAACACCAAAGTCATAAAAGTAGTTAATTTAGTGGTGGTGATATATAAAAGATAGGTTGTATATAAGGATATAGTATAGGAAGGAAGAACGTTATAAAGCAATTTTAATCCTAAGGTTTAAGGGAAGATAAAGAGTGTATACACCTACGCCATTGTGATCGATTCTGAGCCATGTCACCTAGAGTCTCCAACCATTGGTTACGATAGTCACGCGGACCCCAACTAGGTAGTCTGCATCTGCCAACATGGCTCAGACTAGAAGTTAGTGACTTCATGCTCTGATGCCACGTTTTGGTTTGGCCGCTCCTAACTTTCTTCCAACCATCGCCAATACTAGTCAGCATTGGGCGTCGTGGTAATCGGTGTTCAGGCATACGTAACACATGGCCCAACCATCTCAGTCGATGAAGATTCATCACCTCATCAACTGATTTACCATCGTTCCCTAATACCCTGCGTCTAACCTCACTATTATTTACCCGGTTATCCCAGCAGATGCGAGCAATATTTCTAAGACATCTGTGGTCAAATACTAGTAACTTACAAGTATCTTCTACTCTTAATGGCCATGTTTCACAGTCGTAAAGTAGAACAGAACGAACTGCTGCACAGTATACTCGTCCCTTAATTGATAGACGGATATCTCGTCTTCGGCATAGGTGACGTAAGTTGGCAAAAGCCAAACGAGCTTTTTGAATCCGTGCTGAGATTTCGTCAGACACCAATCCATTAGGGCTGATCAGACTTCCAAGCTAAGTGAAGTTGTCGACGCGTTCGACTACTTCACTCCCTATCCTTAGTTCAGGTGTTGACGCAGGCCAGTCCTGGACTAACAATTTACATTTACAGGGAGAGAAACGCATCCCAAACACCCTGGCATTATTACTCAGTTCTAACAGAAGACTGCATTTTGTCAGCATCGTCACCAAACAGGACTAAGTCGATACTTGATAGTCATCGGGGAAACGAATAGTACACCAGGTTAATTTTACTTTTGCTTTTGAAACTACTACTGTTATTGAGCACATGGGGTAGTTCCATTAAATTCTCGTGGAACTCACTTTTTGGTATTTGATCCTGTTCATTCGCTTGCCAATTCTGTATTACGATGTTATTTTAAAAACTAACAGTTTCGTTCTGCTTTCACACAATAACTAAAATAAATAATTCTTATTTGGTAGCTACTCCAATAATTCTGCCTGTCCTGTTCAATGTCAGGAAGCCTCATTAGTCAACGTGAAGAGCAGCCAGTGTTGGTCCTTACCTGTCAGCGAGATTCACATCCTTTTCAGGACCGCATAATTATACTAAATGAGATTGTCAAAGTTGGACGTTCAGTGGCCCGCGCCAAACCTACGAAAAACAATGCTATCTTTGACTGCAAAGTCTTGTCAAGAAGTCATGCATTGATATGGCACAAAGGGGATCGGGTATGTTTTCGAATACTTTTAATCTCATTTACAGTTTTGGTTGCGTGATACAAATAGTAGCAATGGAACTTTCGTCAATAACACAAGAATAGTAAAAAAAAATGACGAAGATTTTGCTGACCGTGAGATATTTTCCGGTGATATAATTCGTTTCGGAGTAGATGTCGTTGAACATGATAGTAATTTATATTTCATTGCTTATATTTATTTGACCTTAGCAACTCACGGCTGCATCATAGCTCAAGTTGCTTTGTATCATCCCAATGGAGCAGAAGCAAAACAAAGGTAAATAAATTATTAGTTTTAATTGCTTAGTAGCGTTGACTATGTCAGTAATAATGATGTTTTGACTGGTATCGAGACACTCCATACTGAACAAATGTTCCGCTTCACACATTACATTAGCGTATGTTTTCTTGTTTAGTCATTGACTACTGGTTTTCAGGAGGCTTTATTTCGAGAACAAGTTCTGGACACAAAACTTGAGTCTATCAAACGGCTCTTACAAGAGGCACAAGAAATTTCTGAGGCTGGTTGGCAAGTAAGTCTAAGCGTTCCGTCATTCTATCACTTAGGCTATGGTGGATGAAGATCGACTTTTGGAGAAGCTAAGTCTCTATGAAACTCAACTCTCCTTATTGAAGCAAGTGAGTAGCCTGTTCACAACCGTGCTTTTTAATATTAGTTTTGGATTTTGCATACATACTTATATGCTTCGGGTTTGTGATATTTTTATTGTTTCGAGGATCTGCCCGAGAATTCGTTACAGTCGCATCTAATGCAGGCTCTGGAAGAAAAATTTAATCTTGAGAAAGCCAGTAAAATAATGTTGGAACGCCTGTTAAACGAAAAAGCCGAAGTTTTTAGCAAAGCTACAGATCTTGAGGTACGTTCATGTTATTTTAGTCATGTGTACATTTCAGTCGAACGAGCATTAAGAACTAATGACTAAACTTGTTTTTCCTCGTTCCGAGACTAGAAGAACCCATCACTCGAGTTCTTTCCAAAGATCCATGAATTTTTCAATCACTGTAACCTTTGGAAGACTAAACGTAAATATGATGAATTCTTCTTAAATGTCATACTCTTGATATCCCTATCAGTCAGGAGTATCATAAATACTATAGAATCTTCGAGCAACTATCTTTAGTTGCATTAGACTTTGGAACGGGATGCATCACGTAAGTTATTTAGTGACAACGGTGAACTGTGAATCAATTTTAAGTCGATTATTAGAGGACGTACATATAAGATCCAGTCGTTCATTTACTCATCTTTCACTGATTAAGTCACAAATTCGAACCCGGCTCTAGCAACCGGGGTATATATACCCTAGTGGCTCCATTTAAAGTATAGCTTATGTAGATTAATAAACGCTTTGATTTTTTTGCCTGAAGTAGTGCCGTTTGAGGAATCAATTCCAAGATAATTTTGTACTGCAAATAATTTTCATCGAACCAATTAAAGGTATTCAACTGATGAAGACTAATTTATTTATGTACTTTATATTTAAATGTAATTTCTTAAAGGAATATGAACAACTTTTAACATTCTTGTATATGAGTCTGATACAATTTCTAAAGATTCTGTTGGTGTGGCACTCGACCAAACTTCGTGTATATTTCATTTGTTAAACTGGTAATAAAGCCTGTCCAAGTTTTGTTTTGTTGTCAGTTACGACCAGAAGTTTTTCATGCCCACCAAAATCCAGTCGCGGTAAAATTACTGGGGATACAAAAATTTAGATTTTATTTTAATTACTTGTTCAGTCAATGTGTTCTTATCGATTGCATAATTCTGTTTCTACCTAACAGTACATAATTTGTCACCTATTTCCACGTGTTGATACTAAAAAGACAATGCCATTTATTCTTAACGTATAAATTTTTGCATGAAGTCACTAACCAAGCTTGTTTTGTTAGGGTTTAAATGTGGTAATAGATTGGCTTTTATAAATTCTCCACATCTACAAAAATGTATTTATGTTGTAGCATTCTTTGGCCGTGTCTCAAAAAGAGTGCATTCGCCTTCGTCAAGACTACGAAAATATACAAGAGGCGTACCAGAATTTGGCGAGTGATAGGGAGTCGAAGCAAGTGGCATCAGAGGGATCAAAGGTAAGCTCTAGAAAAGTCAGGGTTCTATTTCCTCACTGTTCGTTGCATTTATAAATCAATTTATCAAGTTTTATGATCTGTGCTTACTAGCTTTGTTTTTTCTAATAACTCCATGTTATTGTTTATAAAAGTCAATAAGTTAACTAACACTGGAATTTCTTTCAAAAATGATCCTCATGAATTTTGATTTACTTTAATGATAGCTAGACTTAATTAGTGTCTATTGATAATATAAATTGAGAAATATTTTACAACAAACTACTTTTCGTGGTTGTACGATTGTAAAGTTTTCAGGTATTAAGTCAACACTTCTGGAGTAAGAGTCAAACTTTGAAGTAATCGAGTCTGATAATATAAATCTGTAACCCAAAAAGTAAGCAGTACTATTATGTTTAGGTAGTGCCTGTGTGTAATCAAGGTCCTACTTTGTTCTGTTGATATTTCTCAGGATAAAAATAAATAGGTTAAAAATGAGTCTGGACTCGGGTCGATGTAAATTTATTTGGTTCAACAACGATAATAACAGTCAAATGTTTGCCTTGTCGTTTTTGAATAAATCCATGTAAAATACATCTTGATTTGATAAACATAATTTATACACCGCCAATCGGTCAATCTTGAGCATCATGGGCCTTGGCACATTCATCAATTAAAGTTTCCACACCACATCTCAATGAGGTGAGTATCAGAGTAGTATCGGTGACAGTAAAAAAAAGAATAACCATGGAGAATAAATTTACGGAATATAAGACATAAAATTATTTTGAAGCTCAGATCTTCACGAAAAAAGTGAGCAAATAGATCTACGCCACTATAACCAATTCTCAGCCATGCAGTCCGACGTCTCCGACAACAGCCGTCTTTACTCCGAACTAGTAGTCTGCTCATAAAAATACTCAGAGCCAACTGTCACTGATTTCATAGACTGATGGTACGTTTTGATTTGATCACCTTAGCTTCCTACCAACCTAATACTACCCCAACCAGCATTGGACATTTAGACACCTTATTGAACTAGTATTTTAGTCGTAAGTCCCCTCGGCGCTGTACATGTCGACGAGACATCTTTCCGTTGTCCTAGTCAAACGTAATTTGTTTAATGTAAACAAGAGACATTAACCTTGAACCTCACACATAGTTTCAGAAGATTTCAGTCGAATCTGACGTCAGAGAAATGCCTAAAAAGCAGTTACTGAATAACATAAAACTGTTTACATAGGTTAAGACTTCTAAATGAATTAAAAATAATACAAACTACATTTGAATCATCCAACTGGTGTAGTTGGCATGGCAGGACCTAAAGAGATGCTGTAGCTCTGTTTGATAATCACGGTTAGGAATCCCAATCACCACATCAAGGTAGCAGCTAGATGAACCACTTTAATTCTACTCATGATTTTTATCTAAACGTAAGTAAAACCAGTAGTATTGTCTAGTGCAAATTTAAACATGCTACTGGTTTAGTAATTATATTTCTTATTAGTACTACTTAAACTTGTGTTAATTTAATTTGGTTATTTATTTACTCTGAAGTAACTTACACAATGTCACGAAACGTCAGAAATACGGCTTTTCTACTGATAAATAAAAATATACTTATTATAAACTTTCTACCCAATGCTTGATATTTGAATAAATTCAACTATCCATTCGTGTTGCTTTGACAACATCACCTTTTACTGTTAAGTGATGCTAACTTCAAAATTAATATTTAATGATTCTCGTACTGGAAGTGAAACAATGAGATAATATAAGCTGTACGATTTTGTTCTATCAAAAAAACGTTTATTTCATAATTAAGATTTCTTAATGATTTTGTTGCTGTCTTGGTTTTCTATAATCTTTTGCTTTAATAAATCAGATTAATGAATATAGTATCACTTTTTACTAAAGGCAGTTTCAGCACAAACACCCTAAATAGCATTCTTAATACTTAGATATAATGTTAAGAATATACAAATTATAAACTGTTTTGATTTATGTATCTATCGTCTAGCTCTTTTAGTGTGGATAGTTTCACCTTTCTTTTTGCTAGTATTTATATTTCAGTCATTAACACCATTTGGAAAAAAGTGTTTGACTTGAAGCCACTATCAGACATTCATTTTTGCTTTGACTGGAACCAGTTGTTAGTTCTATGAGTTCCTATTGTTATCATTGTAAAGGTATGTGGAGTTGTATCTTAATCGGTCTCTGGTTCATGCATCTAAATGTAATCACACAATAAACTATTTCTGGAATGTATAATGTTTTCACCTTACCAACAATTGTTTATCTAAAAACTACTTTGCTTATTTCTGATCGATTACATGATTATCATTTTTTTAATTCATCAAATTTCGTTTATCTCACAATCCTTCACGTGTTTCTACTTGTATTGTAAAATCTGACATTTTCTTTTCAGTAAATTCTAGAGATTTAAGTACAATTCATGTACTGACAAATCACTTCGTAGCTAACTTTGTTTAAATATTTCTATCACTAATCATATGGACCCTTAATGTTGCTTTTTACTTAACTTGACCTAGACAGCTAAATGATAATGTAAGCTCGAATAAATGTCTATTATACAGTCTAGAATGGGAACATATAGGTATTTTATGCGCTGCATTTATTCAGTGTTTTATAATTAACCATTATGTGTTCGAGTTATTTGATAAATCACGAACGGTTTTTAACGTCAAACAAGCAATTAGTTTGTTTGCTAACTGATTGTCAAAATCATATTTTCATGTTATTTTGATTTTGTTCGAATTCAGGAAAGCAACATCGAAAAATCTGATGTAAAAGTCGAAACTGATCAACTTAAAGATGAAAAAGTGCCTGGAAAAGTTTTCGATCAGTTTTTATATTCTGACCATAGATCAAATAATAGACAAGCCCATGATAATCATAACGGTAATGGTAAGGATCCTCAGTAATGATGTTCTTTTTTCTTATTAAGTGGAACTAGCTGTTCGATTTTATTTAAAATCTAAGATAAATAAGAATGACTCATATCTTTAATGACTTTTCCTAAAAAACATTTTTCGGGTAACTAAAAATTTCCAGATTTGAATCCTATGGTTTATGATTAATTTAACCGGACTTACGTATATCCTAAATCGTTCATATAACTTCAGTCAAACTATTGTAGTAACAGATAAAGTGGAGTTTGAATGTTCAATAGGTGTTTTTAAGGACAAAATAATATTATCCTGTTTAGTTTGATATAAAATAACTTAATACCAAAACTAAAAATTCAGCCATATCACTGATAAGTTCATAGTTAAAAATCTCTAAGTATTTTCCGACTTTTCACAGTAAGGAAGCTTACAATATTTTAATGCATACAAAGCGTTAACCGAATTAATAGTGTAGGTAGGTCGGTTCATTATTTATGATTTGCGATCGTTAATACTCCATCGTTTATGCAAATTACCTACCTGATTAGTGATGTACATATAATCATCATTTCGAGATTATTCATCCCTATCTCGTGTTTTACTTTTTTTCGAAAATAGTTATTGTACAAATTACTAACAGCACAGAATTCTGTTATGTCTGTGTACACAGTCTGTCCAACAGATACGCAAACTGAAGTTGAATGAATTTGGTTTTTACAAATTATAGGATTCATCATAACTGTTCCCTTCAAAATATTCTTCATTTGTGGCAGTACACTTGTTTTATCTGCGTTTTTACTATTCAGAAATTCCTGAGAGCTCTAAGAAGTCTGTGTTTTACACTACTTAGTTTTTTCACATTTTGCTAGAATCGTATGCACTGACGAGTTTTTCAAATTCAGTTCATCAGGAAGCATCCTGATAGTGAATCAATAGTCAGAAACCGAAAGTTCTCGTACATTCAGTGTTTTCACCAACAGAATCGTGTCATCCCCATAAAGAGTCCTCAACACTTTAATTTCCGTGCATAATTAAAACTCATCATCATTGGAAATGTTGATTCGTCAATCAGATATCCTGACTTGATGAATCGTTGGTAGACATTTCTCGACTAAGCTCACTTCCCTGACTCAGTATCTGAATATTAAGATTGAAATAAATATATAAATTGTATGTGAATTTGTGGTTGACCGCAACAATACAAATTTGAGGTCACTAGATTTTTTAATTTTAAACTTTATTTTCAGATGCAAACATTCTTATGAATGGTTTAGACAATGGTATTTCGAAAATCGCTGAGAATCATGATGGTAAGTTTATTTTTTTCTTGCTGGATTTATGCTCATAAACGGCTCACATTACCTATCCGTTCATTTATCTATTTTTGCTACAGAAGATTCGGTACAAATAGACGTTGAAAAATACAGCAGTATGATCAAGTTAAATTTAGTGGCTTTAGTAGAGCTCCATTGTTTGTTAAGTTAACGTTGTTGACAGTCGGACAGCAACTGACTGAGTATATTAGATAAGGATTGTGAATTATCACAAATTAAATGAAATGTAGGATGTATTTTTTGGATTACAAGTTAGTGATAGAATAGTGTGCTGTCGGTCGCCCCTGAAGGCTTTTGGTTCAATGCAATCTCTTTATTAGTTAGTACTTCACTAGGGCGAAATAGCTTTATACGCTCCATAGTTTTATTTTAAATAATTCTTCGGTTGATGTTGGTGCGTTATAAAAAATTTGTTCAAAATAATTTAAGCAATCCGAACTTGGATTTTGAGTTTATATAATTATGGTTTGTTATTGTTTGTGTAATAACTAGAGATATTCCTACTCATGAGAAATCTGAAAACATACATACATTCTGAGCATTTCCAGTCCTGAATTTTGCACAGTGATGTATTTCTGGATGTTTTATTCTTTGCTTGCTTTTATTGTAATGTGAATACATTGTCTTATTTTTTAGATAAGTTAAATAATATCAACGGACGATTCGGTATGCAAAATAATTTCGATCTATTAAAGTCATCGGAACCTGATAATTTCTGCGGTATTCAAGGTTAGTGATATTTCATGCTGTTTATATTTCAGTGTTCCCTCCGCTTTTTTAGTTTATTTAATAAATATGATAGTGTATAGTCTCTCTACGTGTTTTATTGTACGTGATTAGGATAGCGCACACTTTTATATGGTCAAAGAACTCAGCATCATCAAAAACAAGTTCTTCATGAATAATCAGATTCCCAGATTATTTTGAGTAATAAGAGAACTAAATAGACCTTTGTTAATACGGGCTTAATTTCAAATTCCAACTTAATTTACTAATAAAAGAGCGGACTTCTATAAACGTGGCACTCATATCTTGTAGTTTCTTCGGATGGTTGAATTCGATTATTTTGACTAATATCATCTATCTTAGATTGGATAACTTTTGATAATTAGTCATATAAATGCGAATAAGTTTATTATTCTTGTTAATGTCTGAGATTTTTGAACTTTTACGAAGAGAACAATTGTTTCGTTCTTCTCAAGAACATAAAAACTGTCTTTTTAGGCAACGTACACTTCCGTTTAGATACTTAATTTTGCTGCTTGTTTTTTTAGGGCAACATGCCACCACAAATGATAAATCTCATAATGGACATACATCTGTTCGGATAATTGAAGGTATTCGGCTTTTCAATCAATCAAATCAATTGATCAAATTACTCCAAGGTATGAATAAATACTGTGTAATGCTTACCTTTATTATACCTCTTTTTTCACTAATTTAGGGGAAACTGGACTTCGTTTATTGTCCCTTTCACATTTGTGGTTGATGATTAAGAGCTTCATAGAACTCTTTAAGTTGAACGAGGATGAAGTCGATAGGTTTTTACTCATACTAATTACATATAATAAATGAAATATAATTCGTTTTGGCACATAGTTGGAATAATCTAAACTCATCTAATATTTAAGGAATTCGTGATCATGTATTGAAACATATCGCTATTTCAATGTTTGTTAACATAAAGTTAGATGAGTCTACTACATTCTCTGTTTTCAACTAACCAACACATTTCGGTTTGGTTCTCTGTAATCAACAAATGTAAACTTAGGGACAATATGTATCTCAAGACAGCTATAGAAATTGTGTGCAGAAGCGAAACATAACCATTTATCTATTTATATACGAGATTAACTATTTACAAAATTTTACTTTTTTGTATCCCCCACGGTTATTGATAGACCAAAGAGTGATAATCCACCTTGTTAAAATCATTTTTATAGAGAAAATTCCCATTTTGACATTTGATAAATAAAAGGGAACGAATCGAGTGAAGAAATTTCTTTTCCATTAGTTTTTCATCATGGCTCTACACTAGTATATATGATTTATAATAATTAAATAACGCTTTTCGCGTGGATACGTTAAGTAATAATTACATAATGACACATCGATTATAAACTAACATTAATTATTTGGAAGAGAAAGATTAATACTAATCAAAGTTATTATTCGAAAATCAAGTTGTTGCTAAGTTGCATAATATATAAAAGAGAAGAAAGAACTAACAAAATATTTCAATGAATGGTCAGTAATATAGTAGTTATGTTAGAATCAAGAGACGAATGTAGAGAATAAGTAAAATACAAAAATACAAAAATGGAAGGAAAAAATATTTGTTTACCAAAGTTCTGCTACAAACTCCTCTATACCGATGGCCAAGGTAGCGAGAGTGGTTGTACAAACTTCTTTTGGATCAAAAGGTTCGGTTTGTGAATATGGATTGCGATGGCTTCAGTTATGTGCAACAAACGAGCTCGTAAACCATGCGGGAAGATCATTTTTGTATTATAAATATCAAGCTAATTCAGCAAGAGTCCATCCTTCTAGTACAAGGATACTTTGATAAATAATTTTGTGACCACTTCTAAGTTCTTGCTGTAATAACTTGATATATTTACACGTTCTAGTGAATTCCATTCACTCTTGTTTTAATAAACGGATTATATTTAGAAACCTTTCAATGTCAAACAGTATGGATAAACATAAATATTATCTCGGTAATGATGAAGTAGATATTTATGTAGATCTACTTCGTTAGATATGTCACGTGTAGATTATCTTGAGCTGTATTATAATTAAACATTATAAATCGAAGTCATTTTTAACTATGAATTCAACAGTAAAATAAATGCTTGACATTATTGTTGGGGATGTTAGATCCCCAGAACTCACTTGGTAAATGCCTTATTTTTGTAATTCTATTCTAGAAATTTGAACTTCTTGTTTCCTCGCCAAAAGAACTCATTTTCACCTTCATGTCGTATTTCCCACTTGAGAGGACCTTAAATGCTATTAGTTCGTTGTCTCTTTTAGTATGCTATTTTGTAACGTTTCTCAAGGACATTCTAATGCTGTATATATACACTTTGTTTGTGTTTATTGTGGTTGTTCGTGCTTCTGGCTGCTTGTGGGATATATTTCCTTATTTGAACCTGGATTTCTCTCTCTAGTTAGCGGGGCTGGGACGCATCGGAATAGCTAGCTTATTGGTCATTGTGAATCATCGTCCCGTTCTCAGACTAGGTAAACTCGTTATCTCTCCAAGCATAGCAACTATTTGTTATAACACTCGGTTTTCCTCGTCTACATAAATGTGACACTAATTTGCCTTAGACGAGTATCTATCTTAGATACCCTCCCAGTGTCTGTTCTACAGGACTTCAACACAACTCAGGTCAAGAACATGTGATTAGCCTGACTAGAACGTAAATATATTTCCACACCAAGAACCGACAACAATCACAGTATTAATAAGGATAAGAATATATAACTCGTCTAGTACCTGTCAGACTATCTACTAGTCTGACTAAGCAAACAACCAATCATTATCATTCTCGCCCACACGTCACTATATGATCATTTCTTGTTGCCACCTTTTGGTTTTTTTATATAAACCTACTAATAGACAAATTTTGTGGTTTGTCCTTTAGTTTTTATAATTTTACTTAAAAAACGCTTTACAATTTATTCATTTAGATGAATTAAGTATTTTGGCCAAGATTAAAAGGTCAAATGAATCAACTCTTTCCTTACCGGTGAATTCTGACTCAGATACAAACAAAATCGATTCTTTTGAGTCTATTGATACTGTTGATCCTGATAAAACTTCATTGAAACGACTGGATGCTGTTAATTGTAAAGAAAATAATTTCGAAACTGCCCTACAGCGTGCAACAGAGTATGCTACTTTAGTTGCCAATCTTCAACGTCGTGTAGGTGCTGATTTAAATTCACTGTGTTTACTACCGAATGTTCATGATAATGCTGATATTTTCAATATCCACCGTAAGTTTTTAATGTGTTTTACATCAGTAAATCACTGTATTCTGATTCATCACTACTTATTTGAACAAACTGATATGCATATTCTACTCATGAAATTAAATTCTTTCTTATGGTCCATTCTTTTACAAAAAGGTTTCCGAATTTAAATTAAACAGCAAACAATTTTTGTTATAGTAGTAGGATAATTAATTGTTATCCTGTGTACTATTTGTTCACCACACCAACTGACACTAAGGAATAACTATCTACACACTAGTGACTAACATCGTGACTAGTCTCCAGGAGTTCTAGTGACCTTAACCATGTCAAACTTGAGATATATAACCGATAACTATGAATAATCTTTGCGCTTATGACATGGATTGAGTAGAAGTTGAAATGTAGACAGTTGGATTCCGATTTAGTATTCTTGAGGTAATAGGCTCACCAGATACCTAGTGGTCATGGGTTCAGTTCTTAGTAATACAGGTTGTAAGCGTTTACTGCTGAGTCCCAGATTAATAACTATAATCCTATAATTGTTCTTCACTACTATCTTTTCAGATGACTTGTGTATACCTCCGGCTGAATTCAGGACCACTCATGTAACGAAAATGGATGTTAGTCTAGGAACAGAAACACTTGCCGATCATATTCAATCTACTGAAGTGGATGAGACAGCCAACCAGAAAGTTGAAATTAATCATTTGCAAGCAAGTGGTATGGATAAAGATTCGCATACAGATGAGAAACTTTCAAAACTACACAGTGAGTATTGTTTGTGATCATTAAGTATTATTGTTATCTCTAATGATAAGATGCTCTAAAACTGGACCACATTATGTTCGCTCAGTAAGTTAACCCTACTGACGTAGGTTTCCCTACTGTAGTATAAACGGTTATCTATCAGTAAGTCTTAATTCAGTGTATTTCAGAGCTTAGTATACATGTACATAATTTCCCAGTTTTATTTATGTCACACGATGTGAATTACAGCTTTATTTCTATCTATAGTCTCTAATACTTCATTGGTTATGTCCACTAGGAAATTAGCTACAAAAATGTTAAATAATTCATACGATATCGTTTTATTGTATGTCACTTTATTTCGGAAAATTTCATTGTATATTGAAAAGAGATATAAATATATAGTTATTTTTTGTGTAATTAAATATCATTCTAATTTTCTTTTAAACCTACTATCTATGTGTTTTTTTTAAGATGAGCTAATGGAATCCGCGAATGAGATTGAAACATATAAACAATTAACAGAAGATTTAAGAAAACAAGGTGAGTTTTTAAGTTTTTTTGTCTCTGTCCAAGTGATTATTCAATTAGTCATGATAATAACTAATTTGTTAATGTCAATATTGAAAATTCGTGTTGAATATTTGTAAAATACAAAATAGTTGTTTATTTTTTGTAATTTAGCTTTACGTCTAAGCAAGTTTATCAATCATGTTTATTTAATGTATATACAATTGAGTGTTTGCTTTCAATTAGTTTCTATTCATATGTTCACAGTATTTTGTAAGATACTGTTATTATGTTGTTATTCTATGCGAAATTACTTTTCCTATGGTTACTTGTTAAAGTAAGTTTCAAAACATTTTAATCTAATAGTTTATATGATATAAGTGTACTTTTACTTGTTTATTTGGATTGTAGATGCCGCTAAAGCAGAGTTATTGTTATTGGTTCGAGGAGAATGCGATGCACTAAAAAGTCGAATCGCTGTAATTGAAACCGATGTAGCGACAAGTCGTGCTGATCATCATCGTCTTATATCTGAAACCAGAAGAGCACAAGCAGAAGCTAATGAATTGTTACTTGAACGTGATAATTTATCGAAACAAGTGGGTACCGTCCACTTTTTTCTCTTCACCAGATATACAAATTTGTGCTTACTATTTACGGTAAAACAATAGTAACCTGTACTGTTTTAAACACTTATTTTCAGTAATCCCTAAATACCCTGGTACGGACGAGGGTAGGGAAATTCCTCTCTCCCTCTCGGAATGCTCTCACATGGCTGCGCGTAAACAGCCACTGTGAGGAAAATCCTACTCATTGCTTTATCGTGTTGGGGTTGTTGTTGAATGAAATTGAGAGGACGAGAAGCAAATATCCCGTTCTCTAACCGAGTTTGTGGGTATAAAGGATGCACGTAGAGGAGTCAATAAACCCTGACTATAAACCAATAGTGTACGTGAGCTCCAAGATGCTGAGGGAATGAATTGCGCATGAACCTATTGTTGATCACCGGCTACTATTGGACTGCATCTCCTAACGTTTCTCTATCGACTTGTTGATTAGACCTGTAGGTGAAAAGCTTGATTAGTGGTCTCCTAAGAAAACTACCTACTTCGATTTGGTCGGCCTAGTAGTATTCCAGGCCTCACACAAATCGATTGATGAAGTGTTGTGGATGTGTATTTGGTGCCTCCTTGTATCAATGTTTGTGTGTTTAAATAAATAAATGAGTATGAACATTTTTCTTGTCATAATATTCTCACTTTTGGTTACTGTTTATTCGTCACTAATTAATGCACCATTTACATACAAAATCTAAATTTCGAATTCATCTATTTTTCAATACGATAATATGTATTATGTATATTTTACTTTCTCTACATAGTTCCATTGGGTTTTTTTTGAAGTCTTACTAACTTATCACTATGCACGGCATCAAATTGTTGTGTAAATGGTTAATTTGATTTTATAAAAGCCAACTGCAATTTCATACTTGATTTCTTTTTCTTTTCCTTTTTTAAATAAAACCTTGTAGTTAAATACTGCTAATAGTCAAATAGAACATTTACAAAAGCTTCTTGCCAGTACACTTTTGTGTGATACCAAAACACAGATTTCTAACAAGAATGCTATTTCCAATGAAATATCCACTGTAAATTCTTTAAATAATAATCTTTGTCCAACTAACCAATATCCTACTAGAACTAGCAACGTACCATTGCATGAACATTATGTAAGTAGTTTTTTTGTTACCAAATATTTGTGTATATATTCTGGTTACTTGAAATAATATTTTGTTTATAATTTTGATTGATATTTCTCAATCATTCTGTGATATTTTTTACTTTTTGCTTTGTAATAAATAGTATTGATTATAAACTTTTAATAGATCATAGAAAATATGATCAATAAGTAGTTTTTCGTTTTATTGCATTGATTATGACAAAATTTTCTTCAAATATCACTAAAACTATTACCAACTCCTGTTTTTTTTATTTTTACAGTTCTCATTATTTGCTGTCATTCCGGTTATGATATTGATTTGTGCGTTCATCGTATATATTTTCTTGAAATTTGTTCGATGACCATCTGATTATACGACTTGTATGCAATTGAATTCTCTATACTATTCTCCTGCTGTTAATAAAATCCTACATTAATAATAATGCTAATAAATCATATTGATTAGATTTAAAACCTATAAAGGTAGTTGAATGTGGGAATTTAAGAAAAAAGTATGTGCATCCATCTTTCAGTCAGCAATTTCGTGGATTTCTACTCACTATATTACACTTGTACCAATATGTATTGTTTATCTCGGGGATTATCCATTTTGGTTCAATTTATGATCAGTTCATCGACCAAGCAACCAGCTTTTTAATTGTATCACCTCTTATCATTTTTCATCAATAAATACTTGTTTTTTTATACATATGTGTAGTTGATATAAATCAGTATGCTTACTATTGTACATTTAAAACCAATGACTGTCAACAGTTATTCAGTTTGTTTCTTCCCTGTCTGTAGTTACTTTAGAGATTTTCAAAAAAAACCGCTTTTCCATTATTCTCTTCGTATTACTAGTATCATTATTGAATTGTATTTCCTGGTACCATAATAAATTACGCTATTCTTTATTGACACAGTTAAACTGCAATGTCAATGGTAATAGTTATATATATATATATATATATATATATATATATATATATATATATATATATATATAAGACGCGTTGTATTCTTTTTGGGTGATTTTGTTGAAATGTTTTTATGTATATATATGTAGAGATTTGTATTTATCAATTCTATTATCGCACTGATCTCTAATGACATCTTGCATTCTTTCCTCCTTTTATTGTTATTATTGTTACTACTACTAATACTACTTCTACTACCGTAAACTGCATGCCTTTGCTTCTGACGGGCTTTCCATTGTTCTTTTCTCCGTACGTCTGTGTGCAGAACAAATATCGTTCCCTTCTTTTTTCACTTTTTTCGTTTATCTATGTACTAATCTATTTACTGATCAACTAACTATGCTACCTAGGCACAAATCGCCTAAAATTACAGTAAACTACACATCTTTAATTAGTATCATACCACTATAATCTTATTTCTTTCCATAGTTCTCTTTTATAATTCATAATTTTTTTACTTGTCATAGCTACGTTCGCAAGCAGTGCATATAGAAGAATGAATGAGTTCACTTTAAGTCATATAAGAATGCACATATAATGTTATATAAATAAATACGATTATGATTTTTCTGCTTGAAAGCATGTCTTAGACCTTGAAAAACTCTTTTTTACAGAGACATGAAAGGATTGAAACTTTAAAGATGGTTAAACATATATATATCGCTTGCTAATCTGTATCACAAACAATGCGGAGGATCGCTAAAAAGGTTGTGAATTCACCTGGATGATTAATTTTTGTTGTTTGGTTCATGAATAATAAATGAAATATCAACGAGCTTTGGAAGTCTTTTCTGTTATGCAACACTTTCCATCTTGTCTACCGCTAAATTTGATTATGCTTTCGACTTTCGAAATGGTACTATAGATTGCACATGTGTTTGTATGTGTATGCACAAATGGTTACATATTTCTTGATGCCTTAGGTTTTTACTGTTTTGAAATGAATATGTTTATATATATATATATATATATATATATATATATATATATATATATATATATATATATATAGACTGCCACGTTACACATTTTGTTAATCCATATATTGTAAATAATTATCGAGGTTTATGGAACTTTGCAATAATATCCGACCTCTCATAAATCATCCACTTCTCAAAATGGTTTTGTTTAATAAGCTTTTAGATTTCCCAAATACAAGTTTGGTACGCAGATGCCTGTTAACTCAGTTTTCATTTTATGATGATAAGACTATTGTGCATAATGCATTGCCTAACGCCTTAGTTAATTAAGACATTTAAAAGGAAATAAAATGTACGACTTCTAATTTTTTAAAAAATCATTTAATCCCGATCTCAGAAGACATATATTTTTTCCCTTAGTATTTGAAACTGGATCTCACGTTCATTCTCCAATTGTTTAATTGGGATAATTGTTTTGTATGCCACTACTTAGTCCTATACACACACTATTGTTCAGAATTACAGGTGTTTATTAAATACTTTTTCATTGTCATTATTAGTGTACAGTGTAGTATTAGGTAATTACCATTGTCCATAGTTTTTTTATAGTTCCAAAGCACATATTACTGATTAAAATGTTAGTGAATCATATGCTTTGCTGTAGACATTCTTGTTAAATCTAAATAATAATAATATAGAGAACAAACCAGATTCAAACTGACGAGGAAATTAAAGAAAGACGTTGGAAGTGGTGGGTGGGACATACACTGTGAGGAAAATCCTACTCATTGCTTTATCGTGTTGGGGTTGTTGTTGAATGAAATTGAGAGGACGAGAAGCAAATATCCCGTTCTCTAACCGAGTTTGTGGGTATAAAGGATGCACGTAGAGGAGTCAATAAACCCTGACTATAAACCAATAGTGTACGTGAGCTCCAAGATGCTGAGGGAATGAATTGCGCATGAACCTATTGTTGATCACCGGCTACTATTGGACCGCATCTCCTAACGTTTCTCTATCGACTTGTTGATTAGACCTGTAGGTGGAAAGCTTGATTAGTGGTCTCCTAAGAAAACTACCTATTTCGATTTGGTCGGCCTAGTAGTATTCCAGGCCTCACACAAATCGATTGATGAAGTGTTGTGGATGTGTATTTGGTGCCTCCTTGTATCAATGTTTGTGTGTTCACATAAGAAAAACGAGATGGTTTGACTTATTATATGGTAAGTTCTTTGACCATAACAGGTGGTGTTATCAATTTCGACTCCCAGCGTAAATGTTATCTATTTTAAAAGATTTATGGACTCATTACTGTGTGTTCAGTGATGATTAAGTTTTAGGCAAATGTAGATTATTATTGTGATGAATTTCGAATAATATGATCGTCCGTGTTCTTTATTCTTGATACCGTTGAATATCGAAACCAAGAATCATTGAAGAGATCTCCATTCAAGGAATTCACGATACAGCTTTTTCGGAAATTAATTAGAAGCATATATTTTCTCTGAATATTTTGTTTTTGTTGATGAATAATTCATTTCCACGTGACTGCATTCTTTTTGTGTTTTGGTGGGGAAAACTGAGGTTTTTTATCGTCGGCAAGAGTGATAATATCGACAGTTTGATATTGTGTACGCAGTTATTTGGTTGTGTGATCTATGGGTTTGTGTTGGAGTATGTTGGAAGAAAACTAGGGGCGCCTAAACCAAAACATGGCTTCAGTCCAGGAAAACTTTAAATGTTGGACTGAACCATTTAAGTTGGTGTAAACTACTTAATTGAAGTCCACCAAATTATCGTAACCACTGGTTAGAGATATTTAATGATATGGCCTAAGGTCGCAGGTATATTATCTTTGGATCTTAAATTCCTGAAAAAAGATTTTAATTATTTATATTTCTTCGAATCGTTTCTTGGGTGTCTAATTACAACGAATTATGTTGCTACTTCTACTACGCTGGTATTTGTTTTGAAATTTTCATCTGGCTTTAGTAATGGAGTATGGCAATTTGAACTGATGTGCTCATTTACCAAGTTCCACGTTGCATTTGACTGACTGGGAATAAACAATGTGTATTATTAGATTCCGAGTTAGTAGCTGAGTGGTGTCGTTTTATCGGTGATCCTTGAAAGTCCGGCGTACATTTGGAGTAGTTTCGAAGTATGCATTTATTATCAATAAACATGCATACTTTTATGGTTTCACTTCTCAATGGATTTATACACAAGTAGTTCATATTGTCTTCCATAATTTTATATAAAAAGTTGCAAAACTCCAATCTGAACCCCGTTTTAATTTAAGTTTAATAATAAATATAATAATAATAACTTATGTTGTTTAATATAAAGGCAACTTCTTAGTAGCTAGTTAATGGTCGTCCGCATTCTGTGGTTTAATTTATCATATGTCTTAAGGAATTATATTCAATGTTGTATCCTATAAGTTTACATGATTTAATTGAATAGTTTTTATTGTCATCCTGGACTATATCTTTAACATCCATTTAACATTAAATTATTATCTTATTGTTATTATTTTAGATTGAATTTTAACCAGTCTTTTTGGTTTATGTTTCTTGCTTAAATGAATGCTCTGATACTAACTTTTTGCTATATTTTTGAATGTTTGAATCATTGCTAACAGTGGGTTATGTGTTAAAGTTTGAAGAGATAGATTTAGGTATCTTGTTCTAGTCTCAGTTTAAACATCTACATTGAGATGTAGTTATCTAGTTAGATTCATCTTTATTCAACAGGAATTAAATACATTTATTTAAACCATTCTATCTAATGTTGCTTTAATAACTTACTATCAAGTGTATGGTACCGTTTTCAATATATATATATATCAGAAGGGGTTTTGTGGAGATTTTAGTAATTTTATAGAGTTGAGATCATGAGACAATTGACACCGTTGGATATTGGTTCAGTGGTCTATCGGTTAAGTGCTCTGGCGCGAGACTGGCAGGTCCTGGTTTCGAATCTCACGAGTACGGGATCGTGGGTGCGCACTGCTGAGGAGTCCCATAATAGGACGAAACGGCCGTCCAGTGCTTCCAGGTTTTTCATGGTAGTCTAGCTTCAATTGACTCATGATCTTAACTCTATAATATACATATTGACATTTGACCGGAACTTGTAATCATTACTTTTTTGCAAGCATTACACAAGTCAACTTTTAATTATGTTTTTTCAGAGAGTTGGAAAGCAGCAAATAATTAGGCGGCCTAGACAGGTACTTTTATCATCGGTGGCATTATTAACTAATCATATTGTAATCTAATTAATTTCATATATCTTTTATTTGGTAGGTCTAGTTATTTATTGTTTAGTGAAAACAGTAATTTGTTTTTAAGAATAGAAATTAAGGACAAATAAGTAGTACTTATTTATCAGTCCTTTTTCTTTCATTTATCAATCAGCTGATTTATGTCAATGAAGTTTTTGTTGTTAAGTATGACAAAA